CGAAAGCAACGATGGATATTTGTTGCTATTTTAATCTTTGATGACTCAAGTAGCAATAAATATTGACGCTAATCTCTCTCTACACAAGTGTTACATACAAAGGGGGGTCGTATCAAATCACCCATGAAGGGGGGGGGTCATAAAAAGTTTCCGAAGAGTAACGACGATAAGTTGACCCCTGCGCAACTTGCGCGCCCCAAGATTCTATATTGTAAGCAGATTCTTGTTTGACATAATAGGAAACAACGAGAGTTTGAGGATTTTGTTAGTGCCGGCGGCTGTCACTATGTGTACCTGATCAGTTTCAGGTTTGCCCGAAGCGACAAATCAACGACAGGACGGTAGGTATAAAATCTACATTTGGCAAGAAGATGCTCGTCGACGGTACTGAGTATTCCAAACGATACTTCGAAATGTTAAGAAAAAATTGGTCATAGTAACGAGCGACGAATAAAGTTATCACTTTTCGAGTGCTCTTGACTGGTGATCCAGGAACAGCAAAAAAAGCAAGGCAAGAATATAAAGAATGAACGAAACTAAATGTGGGCCTGAAGAAATGAACTCTGGGTCAAATAATCGCTCACTAAGTCCGTCTCCTGAGGCTCTGACGAAGGCGACAAGGCCGAAACGTAAGCCAAGTGAAGGCTACCACCATCTTGGTTGCGGTTTTAATAAACCTAACCATCAGTACTACGAAACATGTCAAGATTTATTGAATTTGAACCTGGATAATTGTATCCCGTGAAGAACTGGTTCGACCACCGGTGCGATTGGCCTGATCCTCTTCCTCTCAAGATTTGCGTGAGACACACGGTATAGCATGTCGACGTCTAGGGAAATTATGTCCATTTCGATATTATGACTCTTTTCATGCAGGTAGTAAAAGAGGAAGTTTTGGAAACGACCTACATCCATGATGGTGAGAAAATTGTTACAGTGATGGCGCCTAATTTAATAAAGGTTGCTCCGGTTGTCTGAGGTAAACGCTATTACCATAAGAATTACCATAAGAATGAATTCACTGATAATTTTAAACAAATCACTAAATTGGTTAAAAGTTTGGTCGGTACCAGTTAGTTTTAGTACCTATTTTCTTTTTGATAAGTTGTATCTATTACATTTCACTACACACGCTAATATCTTGCTCCAAGCTACATAGTTATGACACTGCGCGTCGACTGAGTTTATGTTGGTTTCACTGCGTATCCACTCCTAGTATACATCTAGCATAGTTTCTTATTCGTAATTTACTCAGCTATAGCAACTGTCGCTCTTTTGAACGTCAACTCCCTAATATATTTCCTTCTCCTCATTGTGGTAGTAATTCTTTACTCATTGTTTCTGGTCGTCAGCCCTATCCCACTGATGTGCCTCGAGGACTGACGACTGAAAGTGGTTCGTCTGGGATTGAGGCGAAACGAACCACCTCTTTTTGTCATTTATCAACTTGAAAGTGCATCTATCATTCATCTCCTTCTAATGAGTGGTATAGCACCTTCAGCATTTTCCCAAAACGTGCACCAAGTCTGCAAAAGTAACTAAGGGTGACCCCATAATTGAGAACGGCTGTGTATTTTGGAGTATTAAAATTTAGCTACCTACGAGTTACCGTCTTCACCTACACAGGTTTTCATTGAGCAATTGAAATAAAGGACTGATCAAAAACAAAGTTTTTGCGCGAGGGCGAAGCGCGCCGCTCCTCCTTCTTTTTTTTTTGGCAGATATTCACATACCACGTCCTCCTGTTGTTGATAAAAGAACCACTGTAAATAACAGCTTTTCAGATGAAACCGAAACAGCGTACTTGCTCTCTTCATACCTGCGCTGTTACTGCTTTTTTCTAGGTCAGTTTTAGCTGACCTCACATGAGCTTATTCGCAACCAAGAAATGAACGCAAATAGGGCATCATTTGGTGATAAACTTTTAGTGTTCCACTACCTCCCGGTAGCCATTGCCGAGCGATGTTGTGCTACATATTATTTGAAAGACTACGAAAAACGCAAGAGGCTGCATATCTCTTTCTTTCTGCTCAGCCTGCAGTGTTGCAGCAGTGCTGCAGCGACTATTTCGTTTCAAACTAGTAAGTTTTTACGTAAGTAAGTAAACGTAAGTAACGTAGTAGTTTTACGTAAGTAACTAGTAAGTTTTAATGATAACTTCGAGGAAGTGAAGCTACAAGCTCCTTATCTCGAAAAGGAAGACAGCTACGAATAATTCCACATTCTACTTCCCATGTTAATTAATCGGGCTCGTACAGGCTCACACACTGAACGCTTACCACGCGAGCGGTCCGGGGATCAAATCCTGGGTCGTGAGTCGCCCGGGCCAACCAAGCCTTCCATCCCTCCGGGGTCGGTTAATTGGTACCAGACTTGTCTGGGAGGATAAAAACACTGACTTGTACATCGGCTGGCCCCCGCAAGTCATTGTATAGGCCACATCGCATTCAAACGCCACTACGAATGTACAAATGGAAGTAGAATGCGTGCCGCATCCCAAAAGGGATTGATCAACGGCAAATGCTTTATCCTTTATCCTTTTAATATTGCAACGGGTCAAGTTTATCTACGACTTAAAGGCAAAGTTCGGGCTCAGACCCACTTAATGAGCCTTTACTGTGGCTAGAAGCGCTAGGTACGCAAGTGCAGAGGTCGCGTCACTTCCCTACTTCGAAAAGCGTTACTTAGACGCTAGGCGCTAAGAACTTTGACACGCTCCACCTGTTGCGACACGCTCCGCCCACCGCTCGATATCTTGTCTGCGTCGCAATGTTGATCTGCTATGCTCTCTCTACTCGACTTCTCTACCGCTCTCCGCGCTCACATTATCTCTCATCTCCCTGCCGGCCTTTTGAACTTCTCCGCAGCGTAGAGCAAAAGGCTCGTATTTCCTGTGTATTTCACGATTTTTTTTCCTTTTTTCTCCACTGGCGGTCCACCTCCCACCCCTACTTTCACATTTGAGTGGAATCACCTCATCAATTTAATCCTGAATCTTGCCTTTAATAGATCAATGATTTCATTTTAGGTGAAGACACTTTGCCCCTTATCGGTGCGACCGTCGCTATCAATGCTCTCGCAATCATTGTAAGTCTCATAAAAAGCTATATCCTCGTTTCGGGAAAAGGCAGAGCGAGCTGTCCTACTCAAACCAGCAGATCGTGAAATGGTCGCTGCAATTTTTATTCTACTTGTCTACAATGCTGCTACTTTACATCCATTTAGGTGGGAAAGGAAAACCAAATGGGGCCCTCAGCTCATAGTGCAAATGAGTGTAGTTCAATCGCACCGCCGTCGTCGTAAATGAAGCTGCTGCAGCAAACGTGCATGAAATATTATTTCATTGAGAAAAAAAGCCTCCCTCCACTGTTGGCAGAATATCAAATAAATTTTCATCGCTGAAAAGTTTAACGAGGCCTATGAGTGGATGTATAAATTTGCCGGAGGAAAACTGGTAATAAGATTACCAGACAACGTGGCTCGGATTGCGCGAAACCGCTGCCGGCTGGACAACGCGTCAAACTCCCCGATGCAAATGACTGTCATCTTTTGAGGCAGGGAAAACCTCAAATTTGATGTCAAAGCAGAGGGAATGTGCCTACAATAAAAGGAAGCTTGGCCTTTAAGAAACCGGAGGCTTTCACTGCAATGGCCGATGTCAGACTCTGCGATTGGAGCGATTCGGTCAAATGTGAATCGCGCGACGTCGCGCGATTCACATTACTCCCATCATGGCCAAATCGCTCCAATCGCGCGATGGGCGCGATCACTCCTGTTGTGGCAGGGAGCGATCAATTGTGGCGCGCCCCCTCGATCAATACGTGACTGGACGGAGCATGGCGCTCCCTTGCCACAACGGGAGGTGATTCGCGAGCCCATCGCCGGCGATGTGGAGCGATTTGCCATGATGGGGAGTAGAGTATGTGAAGTAGGCGCGACACGTCGCGCGATCGCGCGATTCACATTTGACCAAATCGCTCCAGTCGCAGAGTATGACATGTGCCAATGAGAGGAACCACAACGATGTTACAAGACTTTGAGCAGTTTTAGACGAGTGGGGGGGGGGAAGTGGTCAGAGTCTAATTCTCACGGTGAGGTTCAGCACCGAATATTTGCTAAAAATGGAATAACATTGAAAAGCATAAGGGTATATCAATTTGCTGCCGATATCGGCTAACCGGCTCAACACGTTATACGTGTGAGTGCTGAAAGCTATGGTACGTATACCATGAAAAGCTGAGTTGGGATGAAATGGTGCCCCGGTAGCGTAACTGGTAGCGCACTTGCCCGGAAAGCGAGAGGTGCGGGTTCTAGTCCCGCCTGGGGCGAAAGTTTTGTTCACAACCCAGCATTCTTGTGAAACAAGGGTATCATTTTTCGGGTTTACTTCATTTTCTTATTCACTGCTGGAATTCTTAGCAGCTCTACCCAAATTGCCCGGGGTATCGTGTCTTCTGCTTTAGGCGTCCATCGTCAAAATCCAGCACACATCACCAGTCGTGCGGCGTGTGGATTCGGATTTCAGCGAAACAACTAAACCGATATCATGTTTGTCGAGTCACTGTAGAACAGAACGCTCACTGCGATACGAGTAACCCGATGGTAACCTTCCGTCGTTTGTGCTGACGACTGTCGCCACATGATGACCACATCCTCCACCAGAACTCGGTGATGGAAAAATTCACTGAGTCGAGAAGCAAAGAGGACTGATGAACTCAAAGCGTGCCTTTCGATACCGATTCTTTCAATTCCTTGGTAATCAGGACAACGCATGAAGGCTGATTAGTCGTGGAAGTAGCTGGGCTAAAATGCGCAGTAATCTCGTATGAAAGATTGTCCAGTGTTGTAGATTTGGAAGCCACTGAAAAGGTGAGCGTATTTGTAGCGCACACTTCAACATTCTGGTTTGAGTTTTATGAAGAAGGAAACATTCTGAGCAACTCCTTGGCTGCGACCAACTCCCAACCGACATCCGCATTGTGAAGAGCGCGACCTCGTGTATGAGGGTAAACCCATTCTTACGAGTTAACCAGCTATAAGAGAGATGACTTTAATTTGGTACAAATTCGCCCACGTTCTTTTTTACAGGTGAATTCGATCAACGAGCGAATAAACCTTGGCCACTTTAACAGAGCGACAGCACAAGTCGGGCCCAACGAGTATTCTCTGGCAGAACGCTATCAAATTTCAGAAAACATTAGAACATGCAAAGTTAGCGAACTTGTTTGTTTATAACCATATCTAATATTCTTTTTAATGAACAGTGGTGGAATGGAAATGTCATTGTCAGCTGTTTCCTTTCAGGGCTACAAGACTGTCCTCCTCAGTATTCTGGGGTTTAACCTAATTTGTATCGGAGCAGTTGTGATTGACAATTTCAGAGTGACAATATTTGTCAAGAATATTGCGAACACTGCTTTGAACTATGCAACTCTGATGTGAGTTTATTCGCACCCGGCTTTTCATCAGAAGCTATTATTTGTTGACAACAAGCCTACAGGCATGAAGATGGAGTGCAATGTGCACTGCAAATTCCTCATAGGTGCATCGCGAATGAAAACGCTGGAAAATTCTTAATAAAAATCTGGATTTATGGAAAGATCGTGTTCTAATAGTGACAGTTACAGTAGTAAATATTGTATAACACAGAGAGGCACCAAAATTTTATTTCAAAAGAATTCCAAAAGTTCAGAAAGTTCGAAAATTCCAAAAACTCGAAAAGTTTCAAAAGAGCAAAAAGCTATTTGAAAAAGAATCCTTTTGAAATCCTCCGCGATATTTCGGTGTTTAACACCTTCTTCAGGCCTGAAATACATTGATTATAGTAGATGTAAATAATTTGGTGAACTACCATACCCCATATTGATACCCACATGTGTTTGCCACTGCCAAGTGTAAAGCTGCCCTTACGGGAGCCGCGCCTTTGTAGTGAAGAGAAATGAAATGACTTACCCACCACCCCTTCTTAAATAGTAGCGGACGTACTGTGACGGTCATTGCATGTGATATGAAAAATTGCGTGACATTGGGCACGCAGTTAAGTTAATAGTTGTAGAGCGTCACGTAGTTCGTCCTTACTATTTATTTCGGGGGATAATTTTCTTATTTCTAGCGCCTCCAATAGTTTCCTCTCCAGCGGGTTTTCTATAGAGCGATGTAATACACTAATGATTAATGTGGGGGGTTCCCCATATGGATGTTTTTTGGTGCGGTGCTTGGAGAAGCTGTTGTTTGGATAAGAGGCTGGGTTTTGTAACGCTCTTCGATGCTCATCCAAGCGCTTGTAAAGAGGCCGTTTCGATTCTCCAACATATTTTTGGCCGCATCCTTGACATTCTATTAAATAAACGGTGCCCCTCAATTGGCAAATTTTATTGCTGTTACAGTATGCACAACTTCTTCTTCCACATTTTTCTTCATATGGTCTTGAATAAGTGAGTAGATGTTTGAGATTAGGCGGTGGACGAAATATAAGGCGTATGGGGAGCTTTGACTTTTTGACCACACTGTTAACTTTTTGTGCCGTACTCTCGTTCAGATACGGCATTACCATGGGAACTCCATCCGGTGTTGTATGTGGTCTCCATGTGGCAACATGTGTATTTTCGTAGCCATTGTCCCTCAGGATTCGGTCCACCGCGACATCTACTTCTTCCCATCTTTGTGTGCATACTTTTTCTTTTGTTTTTAACAAATTGCGAACTACGTTCGCTTTCATATAGAGGGGTGGCAGCTTCTGGAGTGTAATAGTACATTTTTTGACGCTGGCTTCTTATACCAAGAAAGCTGCTTGGCTCCATTATGGCTAATACGGGGGGTCCGTGAGCCAGGGGGTGTGGAGCCAAGCAGCTTTCTTGGTATAAGAAGCCAGCGTCAAAAAATGTACTATTACACGCCAGAAGCTGCCACCCCTCATATATGAAAGCGAACGTAGTTCGCAATTTGTTAAAAACAAAAGAAAAAGTATGCACACAAAGATGGGAAGAAGTAGATGTCGCGGTGGACCGAATCCTGAGGGACAATGGCTACGAAAATACACATGTTGCCACATGGAGACCACATACAACACCGGATGGAGTTCCCATGGTAATGCCGTATCTGAACGAGAGTACGGCACAAAAAGTTAACAGTGTGGTCAAAAAGTCAAAGCTCCCCATACGCCTTATATTTCGTCCACCGCCTAATCTCAAACATCTACTCACTTATTCAAGACCATATGAAGAAAAATGTGGAAGAAGAAGTTGTGCATACTGTAACAACAATAAAATTTGCCAATTGAGGGGCACCGTTTATTTAATAGAATGTCAAGGATGCGGCCAAAAATATGTTGGAGAATCGAAACGGCCTCTTTACAAGCGCTTGGATGAGCATCGAAGAGCGTTACAAAACCCAGCCTCTTATCCAAACAACAGCTTCTCCAAGCACCGCACCAAAAAACATCCATATGGGGAACCCCCCACATTAATCATTAGTGTATTACATCGCTCTATAGAAAACCCGCTGGAGAGGAAACTATTGGAGGCGCTAGAAATAAGAAAATTATCCCCCGAAATAAATAGTAAGGACGAACTACGTGACGCTCTACAACTATTAACTTAACTGCGTGCCCAATGTCACGCAATTTTTCATATCACATGCAATGACCGTCACAGTACGTCCGCTACTATTTAAAAGGGGGGGGGGGGGGGGGGGGGGGGGGGGGGGGGGGGGGGGGGGGGGGGGGGGGGGGGGGGGGGGGGGGGGGGGGTGGGTAAGTCATTTCATTTCTCTTCACTACAAAGGCGCGGCTCCCGTAAGGGCAGCTTTACACTTGGCAGTGGCAAACACATGTGGGTATCATGGGTATAGTAGTTCACCAAATTATTTACATCTACTATAATCAATGTATTTCAGGCCTGAAGAAGGTGTTAAACACCGAAATATCGCGGAGGATTTCAAAAGGATTCTTTTTCAAATAGCTTTTTGCTCTTTTGAAACTTTTGAGTTTTTGGAATTTTTGAACTTTCTGAACTTTTGGAATTCTTTTGAAATAAAATTTTGGTGCCTCTCTGTGTTATACAATATTTAGGTGCTGATGAGGCTCCGGGACAGCACAATATTAAGTTATAGTAGTAGTTCTATGAGTTCACTCTATTAGTGGTTTCATGCTTCTGTTTAAGGTATGGTTTCACGGTGCAGTTAGTGAACTTCTACTACAGTAACCTATGGCAAAGCGAGCTAAAACGCATGATCAGCAAGGTAATATTTATTGTTTGCCTAATTATTCCCTTTTATGTTGTTTTCCAAAAACTCTTCCGTAGTAGCAGCTAGCTTCAAGAAAAGAAGTAGCAAACAATGTCTGGCCATTTTCCAAATCACTACTCACACAAAGAATAGTTCTGTGTTGCAAAACTACGTTTGCTTACCTTATGAATGTAGTTAACGAGAATGATGAGTGGTCCCTATCCTCTTTACTGTTTCCAATCACCTCACGGTTGATTTGTTCATCTTCCTAGACATCCTTGAAAATCTCAAAGTCATTTCTCGCTGTTACACGTAGATGATGTTTCTAGACGTGGAACAAGCGGTGGTCGAAAGGATTCAGCCAGCGGCATAAATGAATGTAGTTTAACATAATGATGACAACGCGCTTTTGTCCATAGTGTCCGCGTGGACAAAAGCAAATTTGCCAACGCGCGGCAGCCGGACAAATGCGTCCTGGGCTCAGGGTTGACCCTATGTTGGTACAAGTAGCAACGGGGGGGGGGGTCGTATTTTGATGAGTTTGGTCATTTTTTCAGAAATCAATGTGTGTGAAGACTTGTCAGTCCGTGATATTTGAACACTTGTCCGTGATATTTTTATTGAGAACTTCGCTAGTATTCGCTAGGTATATTCACTAGAACAGAAAGCGTACTTTTTGCGTTTCGCACGCTAATCATTCTCACAGTAAGAATCTCGTGTCCACTGATGATCAGCAGTGGACCTGTGGTTTTCGCAGCGAAAAATGTTTCGCGCTGCGCAACGCGAAAAAGTACGCTTTCTGTCCTAGTGAATCACACCCAGTTAGGTAACCCGGTGCTGAGTGGGTTGAGGGGGGGGGACCCTTCGGAGTACACGGACACCTTTGATTGCATCTCATTTTTTTCGTGTTCGAAAGCAACGATGGATATTTGTTGCTATTTTAATCTTTGATGACTCAAGTAGCAATAAATATTGACGCTAATCTCTCTCTACACAAGTGTTACATACAAAGGGTCGCCCGCCCCGCCCCCCCCCCCCCCGCCCCCCCCCCGGTTATTATCAAATCACCCATGAAGGGGGGTCATAAAAAGTTTCCGAAGAGTAACGACGATAAGTTGACCCCTGCGCAACTTGCGCCTCCAAGATTCTATATTGTAAGCAGATTCTTGTTTGACATAATAGGAAACAACGAGAGTTTGAGGATTTTGTTAGTGCCGGCGGCTGTCACTATGTGTACCTGATCAGTTTCAGGTTTGCCCGAAGCGACAAATCAACGACAGGACGGTAGGTATAAAATCTACATTTGGCAAGAAGATGCTCGTCGACGGTACTGAGTATTCCAAACGATACTTCGAAATGTTAAGAAAAAATTGGTCATAGTAACGAGCGACGAATAAAGTTATCACTTTTCGAGTGCTCTTGACTGGTGATCCAGGAACAGCAAAAAAAGCAAGGCAAGAATATAAAGAATGAACGACTATGTGGGCCTGAAGAATTGACTCTGTCAAATAATCGCTTCACATGAAGTCCGGTCGTCTCCTGAGGCTCTGACGAAGGCGACAAGGCCGAAACGTAAGCCAAGTGAAGGCTACCACCATCTTGGTTGCGGTTTTAATAAACCTAACCATCAGTACTACGAAACATGTCAAGATTTATTGAATTTGAACCTGGATAATTGTATCCCGTGAAGAACTGGTTCGACCACCGGTGCGATTGGCCTGATCCTCTTCCTCTCAAGATTTGCGTGAGACACACGGTATAGCATGTCGACGTCTAGGGAATTTATGTCCATTTCCATATTATGACTCTTTTCATGCAGGTAGTAAAAGAGGAAGTTTTGGAAACGACCTACATCCATGATGGTGAGAAATTGTTACAGTGATGGCGCCTAATTTAATAAAGGTTGCTCCGGTTGTCTGAGGTAAACGCTATTACCATAAGAATTACCATAAGAATGAATTCACTGATAATTTTAAACAAATCACTAAATTGGTTAAAAGTTTGGTCGGTACCAGTTAGTTTTAGTACCTATTTTCTTTTTGATAAGTTGTATCTATTACATTTCACTACACACGCTAATATCTTGCTCCAAGCTACATAGTTATGACACTGGCGCGTCGACTGAGTTTATGTTGGTTTCACTGCGTATCCACTCCTAGTATGCGTCTAGCATAGTTTCTTATTCCTAATTTACTCAGCTATAGGCAACTGTCGTTCTTTTGGACGTCAACTCCCTAATATATTTCCTTCCCTCATTGTGGTAGTAATTCTTTACTCATTGTTGTCTGGTCGTCAGCCCTATCCCACTGATGTGCCTCGAGGGCTGACGACTGAAAGTGGTTCGTCTGGGATTGAGGCGAAACGAACCACCTCTTTTTGTCATTTATCACTTGAAGTGCATCTATCATTCATCTCCTTCTAATGAGTGGTATAGCACCTTCAGCATTTTCCCAAAACGTGCACCAAGTCTGCAAAAGTAACTAAGGGTGACCCCATAATTGAGAACGGCTGTGTATTTTGGAGTATTAAAATTTAGCTACCTACGAGTTACCGTCTTCACCTACACAGGTTTTCATTGAGCAATTGAAATAAAGGACTGATCAAAAACAAAGTTTTTGCGCGAGGGCGAAGCGCGCCGCTCCTCCTTTATGATTTGGATTAATGAGAAAATTTTCACATCAAATTTCTTCTCAGAAAATTTTCACATCAAATTTCTTCGCAACATTGAAAGTCGAGGCCTGTTGACAAAAGGAGAGAGGAAGGACACAGACGTTTTACGTTTGGTCTACAGCAGACTTTTTTCCGAAGTCTGTGAGGGGGTAACATACAAAAGTGTAGCTCCATTGGTGTTCATCTTCGGAAAATGTTTAGAATTAACTCGAAGGTCATGCAAAAACTACGTTGGAGGTACGGCACCTTGTTTTGGATTCACGAGCACTATACTCAATGACCGTTTGCTCTCCAATGAAGTTGGGCTCGTTAGCACGCTAAGCGAGCACAGCCGTTCTGGAACTTCCCCTGCTACTGGAGCAGGCATCCGTGACCTTTCTCCCAAACTGTTAACCCGATAGACTTCTCTATGTAGATGTTAAAGAGTAAGATCTTCTATAGCTCCTTAGATAATATGAAGATAGTATTTCAGAAGACGTGGAATGACATCGCCGTCGGCTACCTGCGGCGCACTGTCGTTAGACGTCAAAGGGTTTCCGTCAAAACAAAATCCTCGAGCAAAGAGCACCTTTAGTTCCTTATAAGCCAGCTACCTTATAAGGAAGCTAGCCCGTAGCTCAGCTCAATCTTTCTGCGAAGTTGGTTTGTCGATAGAGTCCCCTTCCTGAATTTAACAGTCAAAAACATGGCGTCCTATACTTTTCAGCCACCCCGTATATTCTAATCGATGTAGTGTCAAAAAACGGTGGCAGGACCTGCAGCTCAGCAAATTACTGATTCCCTATATGGACACGGGAGCTATTGTACTGAGTTCGTCTTGATATTTTGATATTCTGGAGCCTCCAGACTTTGATGAGCCGTTTTTGTGAAAAAAATCGTTTTTGTGCAATTTTTTATTTCAAGAAAGCATGTTGACATCGTGTTGCTTGACTCTGTGTGAACTTGAGGTGAATTCTTTCTTTGTCGGCCGCGATAGAGCAAAAATTAAAAAAAACCTCCAAAGGTTTGAGCGCTAATGTGTTTGCTCTCACTGAAACAATCACTGCAAAAGTGCTTGTGACGTCCAACGCTAAGGGGCTTAGTATTAGCCTGTTCCTAAGGTTCGTGCCACTTCCGAACTTTTTTGATAACACGATATCAACAAAAACCAATATCTATCAGCAATATATGAATCTCCAACGAGTGAGCAATGAGTGGAAAGGAATAATTTGGTAAAAGAAAAACAAGTGATAATTTGCGCTGGCTGATTGACTCCGCCGCAATGATAGACAGTAAGCGAACACAGCACCTAGCGGAAGGGTGAAGTACGGTAGGGGAAATTCTCGCATTTGCTCTGACTCCTGATGGGAGGTGAACGGGTTTGGTAAGCGCAGCGATCAGTAGCGAGCACAGCGTTGCTGCTGCTACTCCTCCTTTTTCCATCACTAATTCTACAAGTTCTTTGGTTGGAGTGAAGCAATTTGAATCTCGAAATTGCCTGAAGTAAAAATTCAAACGAATACTTGCTTGCTGCCTTGCCCAACAGTGGTCAGCAGAACGACACAGAGAGAAAAGGCGCCTTGGAAAAAGGATTGCTAGCATAAATGTGAAAGCTCAAAACGGGAAGATTCGCAGCTTCACATCATGAAACACTACAGCCGCACACGCGTCATGTATCGGAACAGGGTTGGAAAGGAAGTGACGTAAATGAAGGAATGTTGAGAACATTATGAGGTTATTTCAATTTGTCAAGATTAGAAAAATCTTTTCATTGCACAAGCAAGTTGATAAAGGATAAAGCATTTGCCGTTGATCAATCCCTTTTTGGGATGCGGCACGCATTCTACTTCCATTTGTACATTCGTAGTGGCGTTTGAATGCGATGTGGCCTATACAATGACTTGCGGGGGCCAGCCGATGTACAAGTCAGTGTTTTTATCCTCCCAGACAAGTCTGGTACCAATTAACCGACCCCGGAGGGATGGAAGGCTTGGTTGGCCCGGGCGACTCACGACCCAGGATTTGATCCCCGGACCGCTCGCGTGGTAAGCGTGCCACTTGCCACTACACCACTTCCGCCCTAAGTTGCTGTATAGAAAAAAAAACACTTCTAGAATGACTCTGTGGGGGGTCACTACCAAAATGGAATGGATCTACGCGTAGTGCGTCATGTCTTTTGTACTCCGTCCGATAACGCGTCTCAGAAGCAATTTGAGGGTTTTAAAAGGATTTTTTCTGAGGGGTAGAAGGAATAGAGTTTCCGATGCGCTTAGAAACCTCCACGATTGATCAACTATGCAAATGCAAATGCAAACGCGAACCAGAAAACAAACAAAAGAGATGTGGTCTCCGTCAGGGAAATTATGTAAATTTTCTCTTTAGGGCTGTTATGTTAGATTTCAGAGAGACTGTCATAAAAGAAAGTTGTGGTGTTCCAAAGAGTGGAAACTCTCGTATGAATTTCAACGCTTTCAACAGACCCTCGACTCTTCAACTCTCGAGATAAGGCGAGTTTGAAAAAGCTCGAAACATTTCACGAACCAGAGCCTTTGGGATGCAGAGGCTGCAGTTCTTTCTGAAATGATCAACACAGAGGAAAATTACAGTCTACCAAAGGGGTTTATTTGGCGATTTTCCCAACTGGTGCGCTCCAATCGAGGCACGCGCGACGCGACAGCGGACAGTTAGTGCCGTTATACTGGAATGGAACTGTTCCAATGCCCGTTTCTATTTCCTGCTCAATGTGGCATGCACTGAATAATCCTTAAAAGGAGAAGCCAGCCTGTGCAATTAGGTTTAGGATTTGAACGGCGAAGAATTGCCATGGCAGCAGGGCTATCTCCCTCTCGTTTTATTCTCGTGAAACCGGATGTGCGGTGGGTTCGAGGGGATCGTATCAGGATCTTCGTTAAAGAGAGTAGGAGGGTCGCAAACACTATCGTTTGCACGATTTTCACCGTTACGCTGCACCCGGGAGTAGGGCGAAAGACTGTCATAGTTCCTCATGTTGGGGTTGAGTGATGGACAGTTCCATAACGAGATAGACCACATCATCTTCAATCGAAGGTTTTGCCTGACCGACGTCGCTGTTGTTCCAAAGTTCTACACGGGATCGGACCATCGTCTCCTCCGCGCAAGATTCCACTTCTCGATGCGTGTTGAGAGAGCAGCAAAGTTCAGGAAGCGAAGCCCAGGACAGTCATCAACTGGGACCACTTCGCTTCCCTCAGCTTATGGGAGGATTCCGTCATCGAAAACATCGACGAGGAATATCATCGGCTCGTTGAACACCTTCACGAGAGTGGCAGGAAGGCAGAGAGTTTGAAAGTCACCAAGGGACGTCTGCCTAAGGAAACTCTCGAGCTGATACGCCAAGAAAGTCAGTCAGAAAGTCCACGACTTAGGTTTTTTTCAGTTCCGGGTAAAGCACAACATCTCATGGATGCACCGCCAGTATCATCAAAACTCTGGCTCGACTCTTCACGCGCTACCTGTCGGAATGCAAGGTACCCACTCCGTGGAAAACCAGCAGGACCGTTGCTGTACAAGAAGGGAGACCTGGACGACATTGGCAACTATCGCCCAATCTGCCTGCTGTCTGTAATCTACAAGCTATTCACTCGAGTCATCCTTAACAGGATCGGCAGAATACTGGATGAAGGACAGCCATGCGAGCAAGCAGGGTTTCCGAAGAGGGTTCAGCACGATCGACCATATCCACACGGTTACAA